TCACTAACTCACTCACATTCTCACTCTCTCTAAAAAAGAGATATAAATATACATATATGTGTGCATGTCTATCTGTCTGTAGGTATGCATGATATACATATACATACATACATACATGAACACACACACACACACACACACACACACACACACACACACCACACACACACACACACACACACACACACACACACACACACACACACAACACCACACCACACACACACACAACACACACACACACAACACACACACACATGTTCAAAATATATGCCATCTTCTACAGTTGCCTGGAGAACTACTTTTATGCCTTTCACTGTCAAACATATGAAAGACTTTTACACTCAAAAGGCAAAACCAATAAACAGTCAAAAGCAGTAAGATATATATAATTCAGTGTCAGCCATGCAGAATGAAAGCCAAGAGGCATGGACCAACTTTCGCATCATTCATCGTAAAATGCTTGACAACAAAGACAAACTCACTGCCAGAAATTAAGGCCATATACAACGGCTGTCCTGAAATTGGGATTCCTGCACTACTCAAATATCATCGCGATCAGGAGCTCAGTGAATGCATTACATATGTCTAGTGTATGTCTAGGCATGAAAACTCCATGAAGAAGGCTAAACTAGGTGTGAACTACATCTCTCCTAGAAATAGGAGTGCATCTACAAACTAAAGAAGAAAGAGAAGAATAATACTGACAATGGAAAAGACATTTTTCAGGAGCTCTTATTTCTCATTCTTAATAGAGCTGAGGTGATGGATCCAGCCATCACAATTCTTCAGATCAGATTGCTGTCATGCCTTGAAGCCTGTTGCAGCTTTCTACTACCCTTAAGCTGCTATTGTCATTCAAGTCTTATGGTTTCACGCAGTTGGAGGTGGTGTCTCTGATATTTGTAGAGATCAAGCAATTTCTACTATACATATCCTCTTCATGCATTGCACACCATGGACCCGCCATTGATATAAGTACACATCAGAATGTGTGAAAATATGTCAAAATGGAGCTCAATAAGCTGGGATTACCAATCATTTCCTATTTCATATAATAGCCTAAATGAGAACTATACTTCTTACAGTCTCAGAAAAGAAAAAAAATTGATAACTCATCTGAGACTAGAATACAATTCACAAATTCTCTCTTGGGAGGGAGGGTGAGGGAGAGTTCTATAAATACATATACTGTACATGACTTAAAAAACACAGACATATGTAAACACTAGTATTAAGTGTCAGTCGATTAGAATACTAAAAGAAAAGGCAAACTGCAGGCCTACAAAGTACAGGGGCTAGTTGACAGATTGTATCTTCTCAAGATTAAATGACTGGGTGACTTACGTTTTTATTCTGTTGGTTCAGGTGAGCTGTTTTATGTATCAAATAATTTCACCGAACAACATGATCACTGTAACATTCATGGAAGAAAATAGAACATTTTCTTCTTAATATCATGCATTCTAATTTCATGTGGAGGAACTCTCAGTGAAAAGCAAAGCATAATCAACATTCACTGTTAAATGTTCAGAGTGTGAGCCATGTCACACAAGTGATCGTACCCTGGGTTGGGTTGGGTTGGGTTATCTGGTTGTGTTGTGTTGTGTTGTGTTGAGTTGAGTTGAGTTGAGTTGAGATGAGTTGGACTGGGTTGAGTTGAGCCGAGTTGCAGTTGAGTTGAGTTGGGTTGAGTTAGAATAGGTTAAGCTCGTTTAGAATTAGGAGCCAGAGAACATAGGTGCTTGGGAACACATGTACGCACCCACCAAGGCCGAATGTACACCACTCATTAAAAAACAACGTCAGAGGGAAGACATACTCACTACCAATGGGACAAAAGAAAGCTTGAAATTTTTCATTGCATTGCACAACATCTAATTTGCCATAAACACTTTCTTGGCACCTGTGGTTCCGTGGTCATATTGGAGGCTTCAGTGTTTTCAATGCCTTTTGTAAAGCTTTTGAGTTTTCTGAGTTTTTTCTTGAGCACCGATTTACGACATTTTTTTCCTGGCTTTCCCCTCTTCTTCTTGCACTACAAACAGAGCAAAGTGTCTTAACATTTCTTCTGCGTATATTGCAAATAGGTCTCAGTGTATATTTCAAATGGGTTTCAGCGTACTAGTGTCAATGATAGTACCCTGTGTATCTCCTTTACTAATCAGTCTATCAATTTTGTTATGAAAATATGTTAAATCAGAATCTCTCCTGTTTACTTCTTCCTTAACCCCTAAATGACATTACACACCAAAGTGTCACAATTACATATGATCTTTAACACAGGCATTTTACAATAGTTTCTCCCTATCAATCTATCACAATTTCTTGAGTTTTTTTTCTTTGCTCTTTGTAGCCTCATGTTATATAGCACGGCTCTGTACATAGGTCTGTGTGGTAAAAAGGACAAAAGACTAAGTCCTTTTAATTGCTTATACTTCCATTTCTGAATTATAAAGTTCTTTGGCATATTCCTTTCTTCTGGCCTTTGTATCTGTGGAGCTACCTCATCTGTTAGAGGTTTAAAGAAAGACAAACAGACAAACACAAAGAAAATACTAGTCATCACCAAGACTAAGGTAAAATGTTAATTACAAACAAGGGATTGACGGTGCATCATAATTCCAAAGGCGGTGCTGTAGATCATACTTGTGTCTATTGCATTTTCAAGAAAAGTTTTCACAGGATACCGTATGCATTGTTTCTGTATTGCATTTAAGAGGCTAAAGGATTACAATTAAAGTTCCAAGTACAGTGTAGCATTAATCAACATAAAATTAACTATAGAAAAGGTCTGAATGAGAATGAATATCTTCACAATAAAGAGATATTCATTTTCATTTGCACCTTTTCTACATTTATTGCAATGAATACTAAAATAAACTGCATAATGTAGCAAAGGATGCTATTTCACTTTCATAATCATGAAACAATGTCTTAAAATCCTCAATAAAATTTATAGAAGTCTGCTTCCTTCATACCTATATAAAATCTACTCATATGGTTTCCAAATTGAATCTATAAATCATATCGTTTGTTAAATAATTGCAACATCCGTATATGCCAGAACAGGACATAAAACATATTTTTACAAGTAACATTTCCTGTGACTTTTTCTAACATGATCCACAGCATTACCACGATTGTTCAGAGTGTTTCCATGACTAAAAGCATTTCCTTCAGTATCACATTTCTACCGCTCAGAAACAAAAGGAAAATCTGAAAGTGTTGGTAATGCTTTGACACAGCTACTACAGGTGAAAGAAAGCATTTTTGTTCCCAGAGCAGGAGAAATCACAAGAGAAAAGGGGGACCTGCGCCCGGCAAGAGCATGCTTGGTTCTCCACTCTGACGCAGCACAGGGGGAAAAAATATAAAAAATAAAAATAATGGAAAATGATTAAGAAATGGAATAAAGATAAGACAAAAGTATCTTATGAAGCAAATAAAGAAAAGTAAAGAAAAGGCAAGAAAGACGGAAAGAACACCTGCCTACCGTCTGCCGAAAGTCATCCAGACTCTTGCCCAAGACCTTTGCAAGGTGCAGCATCATGGCACAAGGCACTGCTGAGTCGCGTGGCGCCCACAAAGACACCCTCGCGGTCCAGCTTTGAGTCGTAGTGACATGCCAGGACTAGGCGACGGGGGCTTCGGGGTCCAGGGTCGCCCGACATTCGTGAAGTTTTTCTTCCAATGGCGGTGTTGTTGGCAAACTGGTCCTCCTCGATCGCCCAGCCCAGGTTCTGCATCGTGTTTATCAGGTGCTGGAAGAGAATTGCAACTTTAATTTTTATTCCCTTCTGTGTGTGTGTGTGTGTGTGTGTGTTGTGTGTGTGTGTGTGTTGTGTGTGTGTGTGTGTGTGTGTGTGTGTGTGTGTGTGTGTGTGCGTGTGTGTGGGGCATAAAGAAAGTACCACCTCAATGTAAGAATTTCTTTTTAGAATGAGTACGTCTAGTCTGTGGCTAAAATTTAAAACTGGGTCTTTTGAAGAAATTCCTACAAACAAAAAAGTGAATTAGATCATGTGCGGAAGACTGAACTTTGCACAGTATTTATTCTATATTGCTATCCACGTTAAACTTCTGAAATATTTTACTTTTGCTGTGAGAGGTGATCTAAAATGGGCACATATGGAAGTTGGAGAGGAGGAGGAGGAGGAGGAGGAGGAGGAGGAGGAGGAGGAGGAGGAGGAGGAGGAGGAGGAGGAGGAGGAGAGAGAAGAAGAGAAGAAGAAGAAGAAGAAGAAGAAGAAGAAGAGAAGAAGAAAGAAGAAGAAGAAGAAGAAGAGAAGAAGGAAGAAGAAGAAATTGGGAGAGGAGGAGGAAGAGGAAGAGGAGGAGGAGGAGGAGGAGGAGGAGGAGTTGGAAGAGGAGAGGAAGTGGAGGAGGAGGAGAAAAAATGAGGAATTGGAGGAGTAGGAAGAAGAAGAAGAAAAAGAGGAGAGGAGTGGGTGAGAGGAGAGGGAGGAGGAGAGGAAGAGGAGAGGAGAGGAGGAGGAGAGGAGAGGAGAGGAGAGGAGAGGAGAGGAGAGGAAGAAGGAGAGGAGAGAGAGGAGAGGAGAGGAGAGGAGAGGAGAGGAGAGGAGAGAGAGGAGAGGAGAGGAGAGGAGAGAAGAGAAGAGAAAGAAGAGAGAGAAGAGAAGAGAAGAGAAAGAGAAGAGAAGAGAAGAGAAGAGAAGAGAAGAGAAGAGAAGAGAAGAGAAGAGAAGAGAGAAAAGAGAAAAAGAGAGAAGAGAAGAGAAGAAAAAGAAGAAGGCAGTGAAGGAAGGAGTTGGAAAAAGAGGAGGGGGAGGATGAGGAGAAGAGGAGGAGAGGAGTTGGAAGATGAAGAAATAGAAGCTGGAAAGAAAAATGAGAAAAGAAAGAGAAAATAAGAGAAAAGAAACCGCTAAAACAGAAAACAAAATAAAGAATTTAAAAAAGCAAAAAAAAAAAAAAAAAAAAAGTAAAAAAAAGTATATAAAAAAAAGTAAAAAAAGTTATTCAGATGCCTTCCTTACCTCCCGTACCCTCGCGTGGCTCTCAGTGCCCACTACCCTGGGCACGAGGATGGGGTTCAGCACTTTACGGAAATAATTCATGTCCGTTAATGCCCCAATTTTCCTGAGTTCTGCATCACTGAGACCCATTCCTTCATGTTCAGTCTGGAAAAGAGAAAATGAGGTTTATTATTATTATTCATTATTATTTTTTGTTATTGTTATTATTAGTATTATTCCTTCATGTTCAGTCTGGAAAAGAGAAATGAGGTTTATTATTATTATCATTATTGTTATCATTATTGTTATTATTATTATTCTTCATGTTCAGTCTGGAAGAGAGAATGGGGGGGGGAGGGGTTAATATCAATGGGGTGCTGTATGTCTGTTTTTTTTATTATTATTGTTATTGTTATTGTTATTGTTATTGTTATTGTTATTGTTATTATTATCATTATTATTATTATTATTATTATTATTATTATTACTATTATTATTATCATTACTATTATTATTATTATTATCATTATCACTATCATTACCAATATCATCATCATTATCATTATTATTATTATTATTATTATTATTAATATAATAATGATCATTTCACGGATGGCAGGTATTTCGTCGTTTTCTGAAAATTCACACACACTGATAAACAAATCAAACACGTAGTCATAAACAAACAGATAAATAAACATACACATAAACAAACAACAGGAAATTAAAATATAAAAACATTCGTGCGCGCATGATCAAACAAACACACGCACATATAAAAGCAAACAAACAAACAAACACACGCCCATGCCCACATAAAACAAACAGACACATGCACACTCACATATAACAACAAACAAACACGCACACGCACATATAAAAACAAACAAACACGCACAGCACATATAAAACAAACAAACACGCACATATAAAAACAAACAGACACATGCACACTCACATATAAAACAAACAAACACATATAAAACAAACAAACGCACATATAACAACAAACACGCACACGCACATATAAAAACAAACAAACACGCACATACAACAACAAACATGCACATATAAAAACAAACAAACACAGGAACACGCACTTATAAAAAACAAACACGCACATGCACATATAAAAACAAACAAACACAGGAACACGCACATATAAAACAAAACAACACGCACATGCACATATAAAAAACAAACAAACACACATGAAAATAACCGCGCACACTCAAACAAACAAAAAACATTTGCGCTTACATACACACGCATGCACACACAAACGGACGCACAGACACACACGAAATGAAGAAGAAAAACGTGCAGACGGTAAACATTTATCGAGTTGCCAGATGTATTCCTCCTACTACGGATAATTTCATGCACATTCGTACTTGCATTGGATATCTATAACACCGCACTACCCACTTATAAGATATCAAAAGCCATCTTGGATATCATATTCCAAAATACTATTTACCCGTTGGAAAAAAATAATAAATAAATAACCAGTACAGTAAAATAGCAAGCCGTCAACCGCGATCATTCCCATTACGTCACAGAAAATGGGCGGAGCTTAGAGGCCTGTCTCGACTCCGATCACGAAACACCAAAATTGCCACCGGAAAAGATGCCTCAGATGTCGTGGGCGTTGCCATGGAAACCTCTCATCTCATGTGAAATTAATGACCTTTTCTTGAGATTGAAAGCCCCGGGGGCACGTGGCATCCTAGCTGTTCGGTTTGGTAATTACTACTATGTGTATGTGTGTGTGTGTGTGTGTGTGTGTGCGTGTGTGTGTGTGTGTGTTGTGTGTGTGTGTGTGTGTGTGTGTTGCGTGCGTCTCTTCTCTCTCTCTCTCTCTCTCTCTCTCTCTCCTTCTCTCTCTCTCTCTCTCTCCTCTCTCTCTCTCTCTCTCTCTCTCTCTCTCTCTCTCTCTCTCTGCCAGGTAGTTGGTGATAATAATTACCAAATAATTGACAGCTTGTTGTGTATAATCACGTGCTAATTAACAAGCTACTGAGGATTAATTAAATCAAATTAAAAACGACATCATCACAAGCGTTGCATTCCACCAAACGTATCACTGCATCTCGATCTTTTGATAATACATTCCGTTTGAACTCCCTAAACGCCATCTTCATGTTGATATATAAATATTTTTTTCTATTCTCGTTTCCGTTTGTTAATGTTCTCTTTATTATTATTCCGTTTCTTTATTATTATTCCGAGTTCTGTTTTCGATTACGTTCGGTTTCTCTTCTTAGTTCTTTAGTGAATTCCAAATTCTGTTTATATTTACGCTCGCTGATGTTTTCTTCTTTAAAAAAAAATCTTTTACGCTTGTTCATTTCCTCTTTTCATTTCTTTGTCTTATTCCCATATCTATTTTCGTTTACGCATTCATATGTGTGTGTGTGTGTGTGTGTTGTGTGTGTGTGTGTGTGTGTGTGTGTGTGTGTTTGTGTGTGTGTGTTTGTGTGTGTGTGTTGTTTGTGTGTGTATGTTTGTGTGTGTATGTGTGTGTGTGTGTGTTTGTGCGTGTATGTTTGTGTGTGTGTGTGTGTTGTGTGTGTGTGTGTGTGTGTAGGTGAGTGTGTGTGTGTGTGTGTGTGTGTGTGTGTGTGTAGGTGTGTGTAGGTTGTGTGTGTGTGTGTGTGTGCGTGAG